ACACTGATGTACATACACTTATTTGGAATAAGTAAAATATATTCAAAAATACGATAATCTAGTGGAATATTTGATGGCTTTGCAAAGCTATAAAAATGTATACAAAAACATGAAAAAGGTTGTCATCTGATACGATCACACAAGACTCGGTGATCAAAACAAAGTTTTGGTAAAGGAAAGATTTTCAGTAGTCACATCAAAAGATGAATTAACTTTTTACTTTCCGGGAAATTACTGTCATATATAGGAAATACGAAAACGCAGCAAAATAAAAGCGTATACATCAACACAAAGTGAAAGACAGCTGGTTACACTCTCAATAGTACTGCCCTCTCTACAAGCATGGTTCATCTCTATAATATAAACATGTTATAGCTCCTGGGCATCAGTAATTTCCTATATTAAAATATCACTGCAATTGTTCCGATTGCTCCCGTGGAGTCAAGCAGCTTAGTGATTAGAGCACTTGCTGTGCAAGCGAGAGGACCTGGGTTCCATTCCCAGGTAGGTCGAAACGTTGGGCAAGTTTCCTTACTCCACTTGCCTCTGCTTACCCAGCAGTAAGTAGGAACCTGGTTGTTAGTCGATTGGCGGATCGCTTTTATGGGAGTAATAATCCCTTCCATTTTTAAAAAAAATTAATAATAATAAATTGGTCAATCAATTCATGACTGTTTGTGGGACACTGCTGTGTGCAATTGACTGCTGCCGTGTTTCACCCACAAAATATACAGTCAATTCACTACAGTATATTCTGTGAAGCTCTTTTGAGACGTCTCGAAGACCTGATAAGGCGCTATATCAAATGCAAGGATTATTATTATTATTGCAAAGAGAAATGGGTAAACAAAATCATCTTGTCTGTAATGAACTGTCACATACACTCCCCATGTGCTGTTTTCAATGGGTAAATAAAAATATTGCATTGTCTTTATGCAATAGAATCATCCCAGGAGAAAAGTGAATGCACAAACAAAATGCCAATGCATCACTTATGCAATTGCCGACCTTATTACCGAGGTAAGAGCTGGACTGTGACAACACAGCACAGAATGACAGGATATAGTGTTTGCGATCACCCCAACACCATTTCAATGAGTACAGTGACATAATACCCAAATTGTCCTGAACTGTTAAGGCATCACATGAACCAGAGATCAATCCCAAGCTGAGTTTTGTTTGGTTGGAGGGGTGGGGTGGCAGGTTGGAGAAGCGGTTTCTTTCCTCCTCTCGAGAAGCTGACGTGTGCTGGAGTAAGGTTTCAAAGATACCAGGTACCTGACCCAAAATACCTAGTAACTGGAGTGAACCTAGACCACGAGTGCTGGCAGGCAATTCAACCATGGTGCAGCTAAGCCAAGCCTGAAGCTGTCCTCATCTGACATACAAATGCTCAATGCACATTTAGAAAGGGCCACTGGATAGCGGTAAGAAGTTTGAAACGTAGGCTGAATTTTTTCCCTTTTCTAACCAGGGGGCTCTCGAGTTCGCTTGTAGCACCTCAACTGCACCCACAGCCAAGATCAGCTGACTCAACAAAGCCATAGAAAATCAAAGGAGCAAGTCACAGAACATTCTCTGATTTCTTCAAATATTTCTCGGCCTCTCCGTGCTGATGCATGTAATGATTTTGACAATTTGCTGCAAGTTTAGAGTACGGTGAAACTCGCAAAAAAAGGTCTTATCTTTATAAATCGTACACATCCCATCCAGTTTCCAATCAAAACCACTTAAAGATTTTCTTGCATTTTATAAGCAAATCATCTCCCAATTCATCTCTGCTCTGTTATCATCCATTACTCCTGAACTTAATGACCGATTAAATTGTGGGAAAAGATGTCCCGACCCATCGACTTGTGCGCAATTACCAGCCAGCTGCATCGAATTGCGGGAAACAAAGTCTTGATCCGTAGTCGCACGAGCAGAAGAACTTCAGTATCATTCCAATGCTTGCCAGTAAGTGCCCATGCTGCGCCGGGTCAACACGCACTGAATCACGGGAAACAATAGTCTTGACCCACCATCACATGTGGATTTACCGGCTGCATTGAATTACTGTAGTTTATTAATTAAACCAGATTTTACATGATTTGTACAAATTTGCCTTGGGACGTCCTCCAAGGCGCTTTACAAATGTAATTCTGTTGTTGTTGTTTGTAACTCGGACTTCGCTCAAGTCATATTAAATGTAATGGTACTTGCAGATATGTCTTAAACGAGTAGTAATCCATCATTGATTTCCAGAAAATAGATTATCGGGACAGATTAGACATGAATTTAAAATTTGCTGTGCATTTTTATCAAAGTTTTTTTTATCAACGATTGGAATCGCCGGTCTCCCATCCACTACCATCCATAAAATCCAAATCATTCAAAACTCTGCTGCCCGCATTCTCACCCGCACAAAACTCCGCTCCCCGATCACCCCAGTCCTTGCCAGACTGCACTGGCTGCCTGTCCCAGAGAGGATCGATTTCAAGATCCTGCACTCCTCTGCACCCCCCGACCTCTCTGACCTCCTCTCTTCTCAAAACAGTACCGGTTGCCTTCGTTCCTCGGGGTCTGGCCTCCTCCTCGTCCCCCAAGTCCTCCGCTCCACCCTGGGCGGCCGTGCCTTCAGCCACTATGCTCCGAGGCTCTGGAACTCCCTTCGCCTCACCCCCTCTCTTCCTATATTCAGGTCTCTGCTGAAGACCTTCCTTTTCGACCGCGCCTTTGGTCACCTTCCTCTCTCTCCCCCCCCCGGCTCGGTCCTGGGATCCGTTACTGTAAAGCGCTCTGAGACGCTGTCCGGCATGGAGGGCGTGATATAAATCCAAGTTGTTGTTGTTGTTGTTGTTAGAAGTCAGGCATGGGAAAGGGAGCGAGACAAGTGGTTGTAGAAAGCATTCCCAATCAAGAAGAAAAAACTGGACAAATAACTTACAGCCAAATTGAATGGTTTACACTTGTACAAACAGGTTTGTGTTAAATTGGATTTTTTTGTTTTGTTTTTTTCAAAAAAGCCCTAAAGGAAATGCAATGTCACTGAGCACTTGGGCTCTGAGGTGCTGCAAAGCAGAGGGAACCTCATTCAAACCCATTCTACTGAATTCCAGATCTTACCCGAACAAGGACAGAGAAAAGTACACCTTCCAGTCTTCACCAGGCTCTTCCTGCACATCTCCTGGCAGGTAACTAAAATGGCATCGGCTGTGCGGAAGGCATGGGGCTCAAGGTGACTAGAAAAAGGATAAAATGGAGGGGAAGAAAGGGCGCTGGCCCTGAATGGATGAACATATCATACACCCTGTCAAAAAGATAGGCCACAATTGCACTAAAATATTTTGGAAATCACTATATTCAGCACAATATTTAGGTGATAAGTTCAATAACCACAGCAAGCACACAGACACACACACACACACACACACGTGTTTATAGTATGCCAACTCCCTAAATGCCAACTATGCCAAGAAAACAAATAAAATGTCTGACAAGAGGAAGTGAGATTTTAAGTCTGGTTAAAATCTAATGCAGCCTAATTTACTGAAGTCACAAGTCAATGCGACGTGCACACGTGTGCTATGACCACACATTCCAGACCAACTATCAAAAGAAACTAATGATTTGAATCGAAGAAAAAAAAACTATCCAACCTGGTTAAAATTTGGAAAATTTCACTCCCACAGTCCCAGTGCCTGATCAGCAGAGAATATTGAAATTTGATTAAAATACACCGTAAAGCAATAATACAGGTATCAATAAAAATGGGCAAATTAGAAAAGCAGGTAGTGTTCGCAGAGACATGATAGGCCAAATAGCCTCCTTCCATGTTGACGACTTGTGTGGCAGTCAGACCCCAAAGGAAAAAGTGCTTAACAATCCTTGTTTTAAAAAAATGAAAGCACAGCAATCCTTCAAATTATTGTAAGGGGTTCCTGGAGGGGCAGGCCATGCCTCAATACCTTTCTGCCCTCACACCAGCAAAGAGGGAACGAAAACATCAGAATCCCACAATAAACTGATTTATTCTCAAAGTTCTTCTTCCACATTACCTGAAAAAAAAACACTCGACTGCACGTCATTACAACACACACACACACACACACACAGGTAGGTCATCATAACGAAGAACTGCATTACTCTCGCAGAACACCGAACAAAAGCCACAGTATTTGCTGGACTTCCAGTTGAAATGCTGCAGTTTGTGAGAAGAAATGATGGTTCCATCGCCAAATCAGGGCGAAGAATAGTTTTTTTTCCCAACGCAAAAAAAAACACCGTCCCTTCGGTCGGCTTTTTGCGACCCGTTTAACAAAGAGTGATGCATTTTAAGTCGATTTACACGGGGTATGGCCCTACTTCAAGAACGGAATAATAATCTTTGCGCCTGACACACGGCGCCTCGTCACGCCGCTGAGACACCTCCCAGGGCTTTTCGCACGATATACCGCCAAGCGGATTTACCGCGCGGGGGCGGCGTCGGCGAAACGCGACGAAACCAAATGCGCCGCGCACCGACCGCGGGTGTCCCGTGCAACAAAAAGTCTCGCCCTCGGCGTGACGCGTCCCCTCCACCCACCCCCACCCCCACCCAAAAAAAAAAAGTTCAGTGTTTTTTTCCCCCAAAAAAAAGAAGTGGCAATTCATCATTTCCATAAAAGCGCTTCGATGCCAATGTTTCCCCACAACCCACACCCAGTGACTCCCCCCTCCTCCTCCCCCCCACCCCCCCCGGCTGTGACATGCGTGTGTCTGCTCCCTCCCCCTCCGCTGTGTGTGTGTGTGTGTGTGTGTTTACATTGGGTGGCCCCGAGGCCTAGGCGCCAGGTGGAAAGCACCGCCCTCGATTCCGCCCGCGGCGGGCCGGCGGTGCGTGTCCCCCGGGCCGAGGCTGCTACTCCCAGCTCGGTGTAGGCCTCGGTTCGGATTCGTTTCCCTCTCTCAGGGTCCCGTCCCCCCCCCCACCACCACCACCCAATTCCCCTCTCAGCGGTCTGCGGGAAGGCGCTACTCACTGTCTGGGCAGCAGCAGCGGCGCCGCCCCTCTCCGCTGGAAGGCGCCGTCCACGAAGACGCCGTTCTTGCCGAGACACCTCAGGTAGAAGTGCGGCTCCTGGAAGCTGATCTGCAGGTGGCGGCGGGAGATGAAGCTCGAGTGGCCCATGTTCACGTCCACCGGGCCCTGGCTGGAGTCGCGCCCGATGGTCACCGAGTCCTGCCGCATCAGGTACTCGAAATCCCGGCCCTCGAGCTTGGCCAGCGGGGTGTCGGGCGCGGCCTGCGGATCCAGGCCCAGCTCCCAGCGCACCATCGCCCCGCCGCCGCCGCCGCCGCCGTGCGAGGCCCCGCGGCTCGGGCTGCAAGGAGCCGACTTGAGCGCCAAAAGCGCCCGAGCGCCCGTGTCGTCGCCTTCGCTGTCGGAGGGGAAACGTGCGGCTGCTGCCTGCATGTCGGGGGGCTGCTGGGGGGGGGCCTGAGGCGAGAGACAGGGCCGGGGCTGTGCGTGTGTGTGTGTGTGTGTCTGTGGGGTGGGGGGGTCCGGGCGGGAGGATAAGCTGCAGCGCCAACCAACCGAGTGGCTCTGTCTGTCTCTGTGAGTGTCTGCGGGAAAGTCACCACAACCCCCGGAGAGAGAGAGAGAGAGAGAGGGGGGAGGGCCGAAAACCCGGAGTGGATCCGCCACTCTCTCTCACACTCACTCACTCACTCACTCACACACACACACTCTCTCTCACACTCACTCACACTCTCTCTCACACTCACTCACACTCTGTCTCTCTCACACTCACTCACACTCTCACACTCACTCACTCTCTCTCTCTCTCACACTCACTCACACTCTCCTCACACTCACTCACACTCTCTCTCACACTCACTCACACTCTCTCTCACACTCACTCACACTCTGTCTGTCTCTCACACTCACTCACACTCTCTCACACTCACTCACACTCTCTCTCACACTCACTCACACTCTCTAGTCTCTCTCACACTCACTCACACTCTCACACTCACTCACACTCTCTCTATCACACTCACTCATACTCTCTCTCTCACACTCACTCACACTCTCTCTCACACTCACTCACACTCTCTCACACTCACTCACACTCATTCATTCATTCATTCACTCTCACTCACTCACTCACTCACTCACAGGGTGACTGAAATGTGCAGTGACATCAATTTGAAAACTCTTCTAAGAGAAACATGTCTCAAATAATGATAATAATAATCCTTGCATTTGATGTAGCGCATTATCACGTATTTGAGACGTCCCAAAAGCGCTTCACAGAATATACTGTAAAGTGAATTGACTGTACATTTTGTGGGCGAAGCCCGGCAGCCAATTGCACACAGCAGTATCCCACAAACTTAGATTGAGTGACCTCATTTTTTGTTGGGGGAGTCCTGTACTGTAATGGTTACCGTGCTCCCCTCGCAAGTGAGATTCGATTGCCAGGCAGGACGAAACCTTAGGCAACTTTCCTTACTCCACACGCCTCTGTTTACCTCGCAATAAGTAGGAACCCGGTTGTTAGTGGATTGGAGGATCACTTTCAGTTAAAAGAATTTTGAATTTAGGTGGTGAGATTCACTTTTTCCTATTTTAAAAATGATTTTATTTCTTTGATCTCATTCCCTGCTAATCGCTTTTCCTTTGAAGAATCTCATCCCTTGCCTGTAAATCGTAACAAAAATAGGTGTCGATGCCTTAGATTTTAAAACTTGTTTTGGCTCCACATATTGTTCTGTCACATCAATCGGTTTCCTTTAGAGGTAAGTAACACAGCAAAGAAAAAATTGGATTTTGTATTAATTTATAACACATGGCTCCCTGAATTGGTCAGTAAATTTCACTAACATTAGTTCACTGAGGTTCATGATGGAAAGTATATAAAAAATCATAAGCAGAATAAAGACAATGTGATTATTGATGGATTGGAATAAATACTGGAGGCAGATTTGAGTGAAACTATTAATTTGGCTGCAATTTGGATATCAGCTGGATTTTTGAGTCGTTGTGACTCAATTTTATGGCGCCAGTGTCACACTTCTATTCAGTATCCTAACTACAGGAATAATAATAATAATAATAATCTCAGCAAAAACTGAAGTCGCTGGGAACACTCAGCAGGTCAGGCAGCATCTGTGGGGAAAGGAAAGTGAGTCAATGTTTTGGGTCCACGACCCTTTGTCAGAACTCAATACTAATCCTTGCATTTGATACAGAGCCTCATCACGTCGTCGAGACGTCTCAAAGCGCTTCACAGAATATACTTTCAATTGACTATATTTTGTGGTCGAAACGTGACAGTAAATTGCACACAGCAAAGTGTCCCACAAACAGTCACGGTTGAGTGACCCTATTATTATTATTATTTTATTTTTCTGATTTCTATGAGCCTACAGCTTGGACTATCAAATCCTCCCCCATTTCCCTCTTGCCTCACCTGAAGGCAATCAATGAGCTAAGGTTCTCTACCTTTTAAGATCAGTGCTGATTTTTACAGATAAAATTGTGTAAAAGTTGTGCAGATCACACGCAATGTTTTTCTGCACTCTCCCTTTACCATAGAAGGAAAGTAAATTTGGGGTTAATCAGCGATAATCCAGCCAAGCCTGTCACGTGACAGACACTTTAAATGACAGGAGTAGCTGGAAATTCCCAACAATTAGTTGCTGAGTGAGATAGATCTCTTCAACATGTCTTGTTTTTTCCCTGAGAGTTTATGGACGATCAGAACATCACTGTCCAATCAAACCTGGCTTCTCCTGTTCACTTTCCTTTTCCTTCTTGGTTGGTAAGTGTCCGAAATTGTCCTGTTGTGTGTGTGTGTGTGTGTGTGTGTGCGCCATTGTTGTTTAATCAATCCATCCAAATATTTATTTAAGTATAGATCGTGGACTGAGAATCGTCTGGCTGGTGGGTTAATGAATAGTGAGTTTGCAAAAACTTCCCAAATAATTTTTGTTATCTTAAGAGCGTTTGCGAGATATTTTTAAGGCCTAAGTTAGAAAAGTGTCCGTGACTCACTCCCTGTTCCACTCTCCGCATAACTAGCTGGTGGGTTGGAAAGTTAGTTGTGTTGTGCAATTCAGAGATCCCAGGACTTCCAGCAGAGATCAGGAATGCCATATTTTTACATATAAAATTGTGAAGAAAGTCACCACCAGCCCCAAGGAATTCCACAGCATTAATTTCAGTATTCTCAGTAATGGTTACTGTTCTCGTCTCGCAAGTGAGAGGAACTGGGCTTGATTCCCAGGCAGATTAAAACCTTAGGCAAGTGTCCTTACTCCACACGCCTCTGTTTACCGAGCAGTAAGTAAGAACCCAGTTGTTAGTTGATTGGCAGATCGCTTTCCAGGAAGATTAATCCCTTAAAAAAATGGGGTCCCTCAATCCACGACTGTTTGTGAGACACTGCTTTGCACAATTGGATGCAGCATTTCTCCCTCAAAATATACAGACAATTCACCTTACAGTATATTCTGTGAAGCGCTTTGAGACGTCTGAACGACGTGATAAGGGGCTATATCAAATGCAAGGATTATTGTTATGATCACTTCAGCTGTGGCGTTACTGACTTCCCACTGAAACACAATGAGTCTTGAATACTCAATAAAGATGAAATGAACAAGAATAAACCTACGACTTTGATTGAGTTATATTACAGTCCTTTCTTTTGCAGGATCTAATAACTTCCCTGAACCAATAGTGTTGGGACTGCTTTGTTTGCTTGTCTCCAGAGGACTGAGAGCATTGTGTTTGCTCAGTCCTGTTTATTTGTTTCCCTTTCCTTCTCCCACCCCAACCCGCAAGTAAACTGTAAAGTGAATTGATTGCATAATTTGTGGGCAAAAATGTTCCTCATCGTCCGCAACCAAGGCAAAACAGGGAAGTCACTGAAAATAGCAAATAAGTTGCCATGATCGGAGAATCAGTGTACCACATGATATGTCTACAGTGAGTCAAAGTCCTTTTCCAGTGTCTTGGCCTCCACCACCTTTCTTGGCAACCTTTGATTACCCTCTGAGTAAAGAAAAACTTCCTGATGTTTGTCCTGAAATTGCCCTTTACTAATCTAAACCTATGTTCTTTTGTTCTGCTGTCATGATACATCCTGAAATATTGATGTAGGTTTACTGATTAAATTCCAACTTTGCAGGTACAGCATCTTGCCCTACAGATTCTTCAAACGCCTTGGAATCCCAGGGCCCACGCCACTGCCATTCATTGGAACATTCTTAGGATACAGAAAGGTAGGACGCTCCAGTCCTTGGAATATTCTGTCAGGAATAGTTCTTCGTGTTTGAGTTATACTTTTAGAATGTCCTTTCCCCTGTCTCTACTCAGCCGGCTCCACGTCACCCCACCATCAGCGGTCAGGCCTTCAGCCTCTCTGCCCCCACCCCATCCCACAGTCCCTTTGCATTGCTCCCTACCTTGCCTCCTTCGAGACACGTCGCAGACCCTCTTCTTCGACCATGCATTTGATCACCCTCCGAACCCTGCCTTCCACCCCTCATGATCCCAACCCCCTGCAATTCCTGACATAGCAGCACCTTGGGACGTCCTCCAACATGAAAGGTGCTATACAAATGTAATTTGTTGTTATTCTTGTTAGAACATCAGGAGAACATCTCACAGGATCTTCACAGGATTTACTATTAAGTGCATTGACTTTATACAAGAGGAAACAATAGCAATTCCCCCAATGTTTCATGGCCTTTGTATGAATGGTTTGTACAGAGCCTTGTTTGATACTGATAGGAAAGCTGTGTTTGAAAACTCACAAGGTGAAGAATTGGGGAAGATCCTGTACTTACTTGTTGGTAATAAACGGTTGCCACACTGTTCTTGTTTATTTTATTCCCTTACGTGATATAACAGTGATAATAATAATCCTTGCGTTTGATTTAGCACCTGATCATGTCGTTGCGACGTCTCAAAGTGCGTCACTGAATATACTGTAAAGTGAATTGACTGTATTCCAAAGTATATATTTGAATTTTGCAGTTGTCTAGTTCCGCAGTATTGAAATGTAGTGTCCAACCACGATTGATAACATGACTCAGATGCTTACTAGAAAGTTGTCTAAGGTCAGCAATTAACTATCAGCAAACAAGGAATTGCACAAAGATATAGAAATTTGATCAGTTTCAGTCAATATTCATCAGCATGGATGATAAAACATGTAGAATCAAATAAGTGTAGATATATTAGTGAATACGCTGCAGCATAGATCCTAGATATGATATTTGTCTACATTTGCTTTTTTTTCTTTGCAGTATAATAGGTTTCTGTGAGACAACTATTCTTTCAAGTACATGCGCACCATATAAATGGAGTCTTGTAGTTTACTGGTTAGAGGTCAAACAAAGTAGTACCTTTCATGTAGAGACATGATTTATTTCTCATCGGAAAGGTCTTGCAGGGGGGAG